GCGGGGGAAGGTGGCTGGGGAGCGTGGAGGTCAAATCTGACGACTGGAGGAGCGGATCTGGAGGACGGAGGGGAGGATCTGAGGGTTTAGCGAGATGGGGAAAAGAGGATCTAGGGTTAGGGGAAAACGGGATTGAGGAGGATGGTGAACAGAAAGGATGGGGTTGGACACAAGACATACGGGACTACTAGTCCCGTATGATTTAATCAGGGGTTAAATCATACAGGACTAGTAGTCCCGTATGTTTCGAATCGCCTGTTTTTTAAAATCAACCTCTTTTTACCCTGTTGGCAAAAAAGAGATCTATTTTGCTAAATATTTAGCAAAACGGTCTATTTTGCTAAATATTTAGCAAAATAGACCAAAACGGTCTATTTTGAAAAAAATTCCACAGAGTTTTCATACTAAAACAAAAAAGGAGAATACGTTAAGAAGGATAACAAAACCTTACATGATACTTCACTTGATGCATCAGTGATTTCCCATCCTCCTATTGATGCAATGTGAGATGCCTGCAACTCAAAAGCAGCGGCTAAATCTGAGTACCTAAGTTGTACATGAAAACAATGTTCAAGGATAATGTTACCGTATGGCATTACACTGAGGTCATGTAATCAGAAATCTGAACGATGAATCTGGTAGTTACTAATCCAATTTGGAAATATAATTTCAAAGGGCATTCTTAATGGAAAGTAGATGTGCGCAATTGAAGTACACTAAAAATTAAATAGAAATATATTTATTTGTCTCCATAGGAAACAACTCTATTCTTTGTTTAGTCTGATTAATTCTTATTTAACTTATGCTATGTACATTCAAAATTATTTTTCGAAAGAGTATAATTTTATTTGCATTCTGGTGTATTTAGGTAGGAACAAATTCGGGATCAGGAGAACAATAGCACATTCTACACTCCAGAAAAATGTAATGGAGATATCTTCACAAGTTCAAGAAATTAAAGCTGAAACTTTTTGATAAAGCTAACCTGTCGAATTAAAGCACCAAAAGCAAGAAGCAAACCAGATGTAATGATGCAAGCTTGGAGGACAGAACTTCTTGTCGCAATTGGAATTGGAGTACTTTCACCTGACGTTTCACTTTGTTCTTCAGTGCTAGTATCATTACCGGTATCAGCTTCTGAAGTGTCTCCAGATATATCCTCCAAGCCCTTTGAAGGAAATGTCGTACTCTGTAAAGTTCTTGTTCTGGATGTTTTCCCAGTTTTCACTTTCTTGTTTCTCCGAGATGCAAATGTTTTAACTTGAACAACAAAGTTCTACAGAGATAAGTTTGCTCAAATTAAAAGAAAAGTGATCAGAAATTGCAACATTAAAGAACTTTCCTCTTCTCTCGAGTTCCGTTACTAACTGGATTAAAAATGCGATGTTGAAAATCTCAGAACTTTTGGGCAAAACAAGAGATTTGAAATCAAATTATCACTTACATTGTAAGTATTAGCATGCAAATATTTTCTTCCTGGAAAGAGACCACCAGACTTCCTACCTGGTTTGATATCTTCAATTCACACAAGGAGCGAAATCGATCAATAAAATCAGGCATTTACCGATATATAGCATAACCAATATAAAGAGAAACAATAACCTCAGAATAATAAGTGACTAACTAACTTGCCTAAGTTATGCGAGGTCAAAATTAGTCAATATTATAATTTTAAATTTAGGGTCTGTTCGGTTATTTCCTAAAAACCAAGAAAAACCAAGAAATGGAAATGAAAAAGGTGAAAATCTCAAAAAGTACTATTTCCTCCATTTCCATCCCTAAAACTCACCCACAACATCTAATAAAATATTATTTTCTGTTGCACGCAGCGGAAATTTCGGCAACACTTCGGCAGCACAACAAGAGAGTCAGGTCGCAATAAGAATTCCTGTTTCTCAAAGGGAACAAGAATCTGAAGCCTAATATCCCATCAAAGTGGGATATTAGCTCTTCCTCTCGTCAGCTCTAGGACTGCGCGTCGAGGGAACCTAAAAAGCTATTACAAATCACACAAATAGCAAGACAATCAATTTTTACGTGGTTCGGCAAATTGTCTACGTCCACGGGGCAAGGAGGGGGAGATCTACTATTAGAGGGAGAGAATATAACTAGGGTTTATAATCACTCACAACTAAAACCCCCACACAAACTCTCAGATCCCTCACACAAAACTCTCTCAAAAGGAAGGCACAAAAACCCTAAACAGAAAAACCTCTGCTTTTACCCGCCTTCACAAATTCTCCTGCTGCGATTTCCAGCCGCAGCCACAAAAATATTCCCTGCACTTGCTCAAAAAATTAACCTAGGGAATCACGGCTATTTATAAGTTGTGCTGCAGAGTCGGGTGGGCCAGCGCTTCACATGCAAAGAAACGGAATCGAAGCCGGGTGAGCCATCATGCGAAACGAGCAATTCTCCCAATTCTCCCACGCTGCACGTGGGTGTGAGGCCCCCACTTCCGTTCGTTCACAATTCTCCACCTCGGTGAAGTTTTCTCAAAACTGAGCCGACACCAAAGCAACCAAATATCCTACTTGTTGTGTCCAATACGAACTCAATCCACAACAAGTCGAGAACCCGAACGAGAGTCCAAACAATCTCACCCCCCATCAAAAAATCCAAACCGGATGCATCTAAAAGACTGCCTACGTATCCTCTTGCCCAAGGAATCAAGCCGAACGTAGTTCACCCAAATGGCCGCCAACGGCCTCAACAATCATGAATATGCAACAAGTTTCGACAATGACCAAACTTGTTGCTCGGAACCACTTTTGTGAGCATATCTGCCGGATTATCCTTCGTGTGGACTTTCACAATCTTCACATCGCCATCTTCAAGAACATCCCGAACGAAGTGATAACGAACGTCAATGTGCTTCGTCCGCGCATGAAAAATCCGATTCTTCGCCAAATAGATAGCACTCATGCTATCACAATGAGTAGTGACGGACCTCTGCGATATACCAAGTTCCTCTAAAAGTCCTCGAAGCCAAATAGCCTCCTTTACAGCCTTCGTAACTGCCATATACTCTGCCTCTGTCGTAGACAAAGCCACCGTCGATTATAAGGTGCATCTCCAACACACCGGCGCACGGGTCAAAGTAAACACATACCCCGTAGTAGACCGGCGCTTATCCAAATCCCCGGCATAATCCGAATCAACATAACCAATGCACAATTATCCACCTGTAGTGTCCCGCTCATAAACTAAACCAACATTGAACGTACCTTGAATGTACCTCAAAATCCATCTCACGGCGTCCCAATGACCCACTCCTGGATCATGCATGTATCTCGAAACCATGCTTATCGCCTGTGACAAATCCGGTCTCGTACATACCATTGCGTACATCAAGCTCCCAACCGCACTCGCATATGGAGTCTTCGACATCAACTCTCTATCTTCAACTGACTTCGGTGAAAGACCAGCTGAAAGCTTCAAATGGGCTCCCAATGGTACACTAACTGGCTTCGTATCCATGCTAACATGGAATCGCTGTATTCCCTGCAGCTCGGAATCTCAATGGCTGAGTCATATATATTTCTTCATCAAGATCATCATGAAGAAATGCCGTTTTCACATCTAACTGATCTAATTCCAAACCATACTGTGCCACCAAAGCTAGCAAAATCCGAATCGAAGAGTGCTTCACCACCGGAGAGAAAACCTCATTATAGTCAATACCTTCCTCCTTTGCATAGCCCTTCGCAACCAACCTAGCTTTGAACCTCAATGGAGTGCCCTCAATGCCCTCCTTCTTCGTGTATACTCACTTACAACCAATTGCCTTCCGCTCTTTTGGAAGCTCAACAAGCTCCCATGTATCGTTCTTATGAAGAGATTACATCTCCTCCTGCATAGCCACCTGCCACGAATCAGCCTCTGAACTCTGCTCGGCCTCTCTGAATGTAGTAGGCACCAAATCATCGATACTCTCTACCGGAAGTGCATACGCAACTGTGTCGGCATACCGTGCTGGCATCAGTATGTTTCTCCTCTGTCTCCGAACCGCAATAGAATCCTGAACCTGAGCCGTCGGTTCCTGATCCTGCACATTTGTACTCGTATCCTCCGTGTCGCTGTCGTGCTCGCCTGGCGTCACCTCAGTCGACACCTACATGGATACTGTACCATCTGGACAATGTGGAGCTGCATCGATCTCCACCACCTGTGATATCTCCTCCGTCGGGTCGCTCTCCACCGGATAAGAGCTGGGAAGCTTCAAGATAGAAGCCTCATCGAATGTGACATCCCTACTCAGCACAATCTTCTTATCCACTGGATCCCAATGCTTGTATCCATTGACACCACGCTTGAATTCTACAAATATGACCTTCCTAGCTCGAGGTTCTAATTTATCAGTTCTAACATGATAATATGTAGGACACCCAAATACCTTGAGCTGGTCATAGTCATGTGCTGGCTTTCCCGACCACATCTCCATAGGGGTCTTCCCCTCAATCGCAGATGAAGGCAGCTTATTAATGAGGTGGCTCGCATATGTAAGTGCCTCAGTCCAAAAGATCTTTTTCAAACCACTCTGCGACAATAAGCATCAGATCTTCTCCAGTAAAGACCGATTTAATCTCTCTGCCACCCTATTTTGCTGTGGTGTATGACTAACTGTGAAGTGTCTCTCTATGCCATCGTCTCGACATAGCTGCTGAAAGGGGTCAGAAGTATACTCACCACCGTTGTCGGATCGCAACGTCTTGATCTTTCTCCCAGTCTGCAGTTTCAATCTTTTTCCACTCCACAAACAAATCTAGGACTTCACTCTTCTTCGTCATGGTGTACACCCAACAACGCCTAGAATAGTCATCTACAAAAATAACGAACCAATATCGACCACCAAGTGATGCAGTCTTGGTGGGACCCCAAACGTCTGTGTACACGTAGTCCAGGATACCGCTCGTCTGATGAATGGCAGTCCCAAACTTTACCTTCGTCTTCTTGCCAAGAACACAGTGCTCACAGAACTCAATCTTTCCACTTTTGGCTCCCTTCAGTAGCCCCTGCTTGCACAATGTCTGTAGTGATTTTTCACCTGTGTGCCCTAATCTATAGCGTCAAAGTCTGCTCATGTCCGCTTCTGAAATAGCTGAAGCAACCTGGCCAATCTCGGTGCTTCCCTTCAGATAATACAAATTCTGATTGCGAACTCCCCTCATCACCACCAATGATCCATTAGTAACCTTCGCTATAGCGTTTTCGAAAGTCACGGACTACTTCAACTGAGATAAGATTTTTCTTCAGTTGAGGAACAAATCTGACCTCCTTCAACTCATGGACTACTCCATCGTGCATCCTAATCCGCACGGTACCTATCCCACAAACACCACAGGATTGATCATTTCCCATGACAACAATACCCCCGTCAACTTTCTCAAAAGATGCAAACCAGTCTCGCCTAGGGGTCACATGAAAAGTAGCACCGGAATCAAGCATCCAATCTGATGCATCCACATGGTTCACCTCCGGAGTAATCAGTAGAGAAAAGCACGAATCATCGGAATCATCGGAATCATCGTCTTTCATAATATTCACCTCATTGGCCTTCGGGCCCTTTTTCTTGTCATTCTCCTTCTCCTTGAGCTTCGGGCAATCTCTCTTCCAATGTCCCTGTTCCTTGCAGAATGCACATTGATTCTTTGCTAATTGGTGGCGGCTTCTTAACTTTGACCTTCCTCTATTACCACCTTTCGGATATGGGCTTCTACCTCTCGTCGACAAGGCCTTGCCTGAAGTGCTAGCTCGGGAAGTCTCCTTATCCTTCATCCTCAAATCGTAGTTCGTCAATGCGTTAGTCACTTCACTATAGCTGATAGAAGATCTTCCATTTAACAAAGTGAGCACGAAGGTATCATACTCCTCATACGGTAAGGAGCCCAACAAAATAATCGCCTTATACTCATCCGATATCTTCTCATCAACATTCGTCAAGTCTGACAACTTAGTGTAGTTGTTCACATGAGCCGCTAGCGAGGTGCCTCTGGATATCTGAAATCTGAAGAGTCTTCGCAGCAAGTGCATCCTGTTCTTAACACTCTTCGTGAGATACTTGTTGTTGAGAATTTCCCACATCTTCATTGCAGACGTCACCCCAATCACATCATATTTTAGCTCCTGTTCCAAACAGGACCTGATCACCCCACAAGCGTTCCTATTCATCTTCTCACATACCACCTCTTCATATTTAGGTGGCCTCTCGTGGACCATGATGGTCTTTTTCAAATTCTGAGCATTGAGCGCATCTTGTACGTCGCTCATCCACAAACCAAAGTTGATTTTGTCGTCATATTTCACCACACTAATCTTAGTGTTCTGAAAACCAACTTGTATTGTACTCGCCATCGATTTGCTGCTTTCACCTTCTTCTCCCATTGTAAACTAACTCCAAATTATAGAAAAAGAATAAATTTGATAGAAATTAGGAATCACCCAACTGAACCTTAGATTGGATTCCAAATAGATTTCCTAACCACACGAGGAAAGAGAAATCTCCAACGGTAACTCCTAATGCTATCTTCACCGAAGCCTAGACTCCAAGAACCAAACTTCACACAAAAATCTTCCTCCACCAAACTCCAAAACCCTAGATCTGAAATCTGGGCTCTGATACCACTTGTTACGCGCAGCGGAAATTTCGGCAGCACTTCAACAGCACAACAAGAGAGTCAGGTCGCAATAAGAATTCTTGTTTCTCAAAGGGAACAAGAATCTGAAGCCTAATATCCCATCAAAGTGGGATATTAGCTCTTCCTCTCGTCAGCTCTAGGACTGCGCGTCGAGGGAACCTAAAAAGCTATTACAAATCACACAAATAGCAAGACAACCAATTTTTACGTGGTTCGGTAAATTACCTACGTCCACGGGGCAAGGAGGAGGAGATCTACTATTAGAGGGAGAGAATACAACTAGGGTTTACAATCACTCACAACTAAAACCCTCACACAAACTCTCAGATCCCTCACACAGAACTCTCTCAAAAGGAAGGCACAAAAACCCTAAACAGAAAAACCTCTGCTTTTACCCGCCTTCACAAATTCTCCTGCTGCGATTTCCAGCCGCAGCCACAAAAATACTCCCTGTACTTGCTCAAAAAATTAACCTAGGGAATCACGGCTATTTATAAGTTGTGCTGCAGAGTCGGGTGGGCCAACGCTTCACATGCAAAGAAACGGAATCGAAGCCGGGTGGGCCATCATGCGAAACGAGCAATTCTCCCAATTCTCCCATGCTGCACGTGGGTGTGAGGCCCCCACTTCCATTCGTTCACATTTTCATCCAAGAACTCATCCACATCATCTATAAAATATTATTTTCATCTAACCACTCATCCATCACATCTAATAAAATATTATTTTCATCTAACAACTCATCCATTACATCTAATAAAATATTATTTTCATCCAAACATCACTCAACTCATCTCTTCTCATCATTTCAAATCACTCATATCATCCAATAAAATATTATAACAATTCATCTCATCTCATTAACATTTCATTTCTTTGTTTTTATCCCAAAAAATTGTGAAAACACTTTTCTTAAGTGTGGGTCACACCACCCAATAATACAATGACAACTCATCTCATCTCATTTCATTTCTTATTTTTAAAAATGAACCAAACAAAAGAAAACAATAAACTACAGGAAATAGGTTTCTTATAATTTATTTCCTTATTTTTTTGGCCAACCAAACAACATCAAAACTAGTTTTCTTAAAAAATCACTCACATCATCCAATAATAATGTGACAACTAACATTATTTTATCTCCATTTTTTTGATTTCCTTCTTTTTTTAGCCAACCAAACACTCCCAAACCAATTCTTCATTTTAATAGTTTTCCATTTCTTTGATTTCCCTCTTTTTTAGTCAAACAAACAGGCCCTTGAAAAAAAAACTCATTGATCAAATAATGAAACAAAGAAAGCAAACTTAAATGGTCAGGACAACATTCATCACTTTGTCACCAAGAATGCAAGCTTTAACTTGAAATGGTGTAAAGATTTTCTGTGCCAATAATCAATTATGTCAAAGAAACTGCATGATCAAGATTTACATTATAAATGAACATCTATAAAATATCTTGCTGACTGAAACTTTTTTGCTAAAAATAAATACTTGGAACTTCTTATCTCAATCTGGGGATAAAATAATGCCATTGTAAATAATTTACTAGACGAACCTCTCAAGGAGACTAATGGGCAGCTGCAAACAACATCACATCCACTCCTCATCATCACTGAGTCGTTAGTAAACTTTGCTGCACATCAAATAAAGGGCAACAAAAAGGGGTTTCTTTGTAAGAGTGCGAGCATTTGCTAAGCAAGATATTGTTGAATTTGAGAATTTATGGGCATAATTGTTATGAAGAAAGAAAACCCATCTCATTTCAATGGATGAACAATAGTCTGATAAAAAGAGTTTGAAAAAATAAAAAATCAAGGAGTTAGAGGAGAAGACCTTTGTTCTGAGTTGGGTAGTAGGAATAAGCTTGAGAGGCTCGGATTTGTTTATGGGGTGCTCATAGTGGGCAGTACACGAGAAGAAGCAGATGAGGAGTCCGGGACCAGGGATTTATTGAGGGCTAATTTCACATAACCCCCCAGTGCTTTGAGGGTGTTGCACATAACCCCTCTAAACTTTATTTATCCCATATAATCCCCTTGAACTATGGAGTATCTCACAAAACCTCCCCATACTTTAACTTATCTCACTTAACTTTCCCGACAATAATCTATAAATAACTAAAATGTCTTTGATTGAAAAATCCCAAACCTTTTCTTTTGTCATTTACATACAACATACACCCTCCTCTAAATTTCAATTTTTTAATTATTTTCAAATTACATGGAAGGGGTTAGATGAGAAACTTTTATAAGTTTTGGAGGATTTTGTGAGACGCCTCAATGATCCGTGTT